CTATACCAGAAGCGGTGTTGCCAGTGGCACTGACTCCCTCTATACCAGCGGTGGAGTGGCCAGCATCGCTCACTCCCTCTATACCAGCGGTGGTGTTGCCAGCGGCGCTCACTCCCTCTATACCAGTGGCGCTCACTCCCTCTATACCAGCGGAGGTGTTGCCAGCAGCGCTCACTCCCTCTATACCAGCGGTGGTGTTGCCAGCGGCGCTCACTCCCTCTATACCAGTGGCGCTCACTCCCTCTATACCAGCGGAGGTGTTGCCAGCAGCGCTCACTCCCTCTATACCAGTGGTGGTGTTGCCAGCGGCGCTCACTCCCTCTATACCAGTGGTGGTGTTGCCAGCGACGCTCATTTTCTCTATACCAGCGGAGGTGTTGCCAGCGGCGCTCACTCCCTCTATACCAGCAGCGTTCACTCCCTCTATACCAGCGGTGGTGTTGCCAGCGGCACTCACTCCCTCTATACCAGCGGTGGAGTTGCCAGCGGCGCTCACTCCCTCTTTACCAGCGGTGGTGTTGCCAGCGGCGCTCACTCCCTCTATACCAGCGGCGGTGTTGCCAGCGGCGCTCACTTCCACTATACCAGCGTAGGTGTTGCCAGCGGCACTCACGCCCTCTATACCAGAAGTGGTGTTGCCAGTGGCGCTGACTCCCTCTATACCAGCGGTGGAGTGGCCAGCATCGCTCACTCCCTCTATACCAGCGGTGGTGTTGCCAGCGGCGCTCACTCCCTCTATACCAGCGGTGGTGTTGCCAGCGGCGCTCACTCCCTCTATACCAGCGGTGGTGTTGCCAGCGGCGCTCACTCCCTCTATACCAGCGGCGCTGACTCCCTCTATAACAGCGGCGCTCACTCCCTCTATACCAGCGGAGGTGTTGCCAGCGGCGCTCACTCCCTCTATACCAGTGGTGGTGTTGCCAGCGGCGCTCACTCCCTCTATACCAGCGGTGGTGTTGCCAGCGACGCTCATTCCCTCTATACCAGCGGAGGTGTTGCCAGCGGCGCTCACTCCCTCTATACCTGCAGCGTTCACTCCCTCTATACCAGCGGTGGTGTTGCCAGCAGCACTCACTCCCTCTATACCAGCGGTGGAGTTGCCAGCGGCGCTCAATCCCTCTCTACCAGCAGTGGTGTTGGCAGCGGCGCTCACTTCCTCTATACCAGCGGCGGTGTTGCCAGCGGCCCTCACTCCCTCTATACCAGCGGTGGTGTTGCCAGCGGCGCTCACTCCCTCTATACCAGCGATGGTGTTGCCAGAGGTGGTGTTGCCAGCGGCGCTCACTCCCTCTATACCAGCGGTGGTGTTGCCAGCGGCGCTCACTCCCTCTATACCAGCGGTGGTGTTGCCAGCGGCGGTGTTGCCAGCTATACGCTCACTCCCTCTATACCAGCGGCTCTCACTTCCTCTATACCAGCGGTGGTGTTGCCAGCGGCGCTCACTCCCTCTATACCAGCGGAGGTGTTGCCAGCGGCGCTCACTCCCTCTATACCAGCGGTGGTGTTGCCAGTGGCGCTCACTCCCTCTATACCAGCGGTGGAGTGGCCAGCATCGCTCACTCCATCTATACCAGCGGTGGTGTTCTCACTCCCTCTATACCAGTGGCGCTCACTCCCTCTATACCAGCGGAGGTGTTGCCAGCAGCGCTCACTCCCTCTATACCAGCGGTGGTGTTGCCAGCGGCGCTCACTCCCTCTATACCAGTGGCGCTCACTCCCTCTATTCCAGCGGAGGTGTTGCCAGCAGCGCTCACTCCCTCTATACCAGTGGTGGTGTTGCCAGCGGCGCTCACTCCCTCTATACCAGTGGTGGTGTTGCCAGCGACGCTCATTTTCTCTATACCAGCGGAGGTGTTGCCAGCGGCGCTCACTCCCTCTATACCTGCAGCGTTCACTCCCTCTATACCAGCGGTGGTGTTTCCAGCGGCGGTGTTCCCAGCGTCGTTCACTCCCTCTATACCAGCGGTGGTGTTGCCTACGGCGCTCACTTCCTCTACACCAGCGGCGGTGTTGCCAGCGTCGTTTACTCCCTCTATACCAGCGGAGGTGTTGCCAGCGGCGCTCACTCCCTCTATACCAGCGGTGGTGCTGCCAGCGGCGCTCACTCCCTCTATACCAGCGGTGGTGTTGCCTGCGGCCCTCACTCCCTCTATACCAGCGGCGCTCACTCCCTCTATACCAGCGGCGCTCATTCCCTCTATACCAGCGGAGGTGTTGCCAGCGGCGGTGTTGCCAAAGGCGCTCAGTCCCTCTGTACCAGCGGCGCGTCACTCCTTCTATACCAGCGGTGGTGTTGCCAGCGGCGCTCACTCCCTCTATACCAGCGTTGCTGACACCTTAAATAGAGCGCTGGTGTTACCAGCAGCGCTCACTTCCTCTATACCAGCGGCGCTCACTCCCTCTATACCAGCGGTGGTCTTGCCAGCGGCGGTGTTGCCAGCGTCGTTCACTAACTCTATACCAGCGGAGGTGTTGCCAGCGGCGCTCACTCCCTCTATACCAGCGGTGGTGTTGCCAGCGGCGTTCACTCCCTCTATACCAGCGGTGGTGTTGCCAGCGGCGCTCACTCCCTCTATACCAGCGGTGGTGTTGCCAGCGGCGCTCACTCCCTCTATACCAGCGATGGTGTTGCCAGCGGCGCTCACTCCCTCTATACCAGCGGCGGTGTTGCCAGCGGCGCTCACTCCCTCTATACCAGCGGTGGTGTTGCCAGCGGCGGTGTTGCGAGCGGCACTCGCTCCCTCTACACTAGCAGTGGAGTTGCCAGCAGCGCTCACTTCCTCTATACCAGAAGTGGTGTTGCAAGCGGCGTTCACTCCCTCTATACCAGCGGTGGTGTTGCCAGCGGCGCTCACTCCCTCTATACCAGCGGTGGTGTTGCCAGCGGCGCTCACTCCCTCTATACCAGCGATGGTGTTGCCAGGGGGCGGTGTTGCCAGCGGCGCTCACTCCCTCTATATCAGCAGTGGTGTTGCCTGCAGCGCTCTCTACCTCTATACCAGCGGTGGTGTTGCCAGCGGCGGTGTTGCCAGCGGCGCTCACTCCCTCTATACCAGCGGCTCTCACTTCCTCTATACCAGCGGTGGTGTTGCCAGCAGCGCTCACTTCCTCTATACCAGCGGAGGTGTTGCCAGCGGCGCTCACGCCCTCTATACCAGAAGTGGTGTTGCCAGTGGCACTGACTCCCTCTATACCAGCGGTGGAGTGGCCAGCATCGCTCACTCCCTCTATACCAGCGGTGGTGTTGCCAGCGGCGCTCACTCCCTCTATACCAGGTACCAGTGGCGCTCACTCCCTCTATACCAGCGGTGGTGTTGCCAGCAGCGCTCACTCCCTCTATACCAGCGGTGGTGTTGCCAGCGGCGCTCACTCCCTCTATACCAGTGGCGCTCACTCCCTCTATACCAGCGGAGGTGTTGCCAGCAGCGCTCACTCCCTCTATACCAGCGGAGGTGTTGCCAGCGGCGCTCACTCCCTCTATACCAGCGGTGGTGTTGCCAGCGGCGCTCACTTCCTCTATACCAGCGGAGGTGTTGCCAGCGGCGCTCACTCCCTCTATACCAGCAGCGTTCACTCCCTCTATACCAGCGGTGGTGTTGCCAGCGGCGCTCACTCCCTCTATACCAGCGGTGGAGTTGCCAGCGGCGCTCAATCCCTCTTTACCAGCGGTGGTGTTGGCAGCGGCGCTCACTTCCTCTATACCAGCGGCGGTGTTGCCAGCGGCGCTCACTTCCACTATACCAGCGTAGGTGTTGCCAGCGGCGCTCACTCCCTCTATACCAGCGGCAGTGTTGCGGCGCTCACTCCCTCTATACCCAGCACTCACTCCCTCTATACCAGCGTGGTGTTGCCAGTGGCGCTGACTCCCTCTATACCAGCGGTGGAGTGGCCAGCATCGCTCACTCCCTCTATACCAGCGGTGGTGTTGTCAGCGGCGCTCACTCCCTCTATACCAGCGGAGGTGTTGCCAGCAGCGCTCACTCCCTCTATACCAGCGGTGGTGTTGCCAGCGGTGCTCACTCCCTCTATACCAGTGGCGCTCACTCCCTCTATACCAGCGGAGGTGTTGCCAGCAGCGTTCACTCCCTCTATACCAGCGGTGGTGTTGCCAGCAGCACTCACTCCCTCTATACCAGCGGTGGAGTTGCCAGCGGCGCTCACTCCCTCTATACCAGCAGTGGTGTTGGCAGCGGCGCTCACTACCTCTATACCAGCGGCGGTGTTGCCAGCGGCCCTCACTCCCTCTATACCAGCGGTGGTGTTGCCAGCGGCGCTCACTCCCTCTATACCAGCGATGGTGTTGCCAGCGGCGGTGTTGCCAGCGGCGCTCACTCCCTCTATACCAGCGGTGGTGTTGCCTGCAGCGCTCTCTGCCTCTATACCAGCGGTGGTGTTGCCAGCGGCGGTGTTGCCAGCGGCGCTCACTCCCTCTATACCAGCGGCTCTCACTTCCTCTATACCAGCGGTGGTGTTGCCAACAGCGCTCATTTCCTCTATACCAGCGGAGGTGTTGCCAGCGGCGCTCACGCCCTCTATACCAGAAGTGGTGTTGCCAGTGGCGCTGACTCCCTCTATACCAGCGGTGGAGTGGCCAGCATCGCTCACTCCCTCTATACCAGCGGTGGTGTTGCCAGCGGCGCTCACTCCCTCTATACCAGTGGCGCTCACTCCCTCTATACCAGCGGAGGTGTTGCCAGCAGCGCTCACTCCCTCTATACCAGCGGTGGTGTTGCCAGCGGCGCTCACTCCCTCTATACCAGTGGCGCTCACTCCCTCTATACCAGCGGAGGTGTTGCCAGCAGCGCTCACTCCCTCTATACCAGTGGTGGTGTTGCCAGCGGCGCTCACTCCCTCTATACCAGTGGTGGTGTTGCCAGCGACGCTCACTTTCTCTATACCAGCGGAGGTGTTGCCAGCGGCGCTCACTCCCTCTATACCTGCAGCGTTCACTCCCTCTATACCAGCGGTGGTGTTGCCAGCAGCACTCACTCCCTCTATACCAGCGGTGGAGTTGCCAGCGGCGCTCAATCCCTCTTTACCAGCAGTGGTGTTGGCAGCGGCGCTCACTTCCTCTATACCAGCGGCGGTGTTGCCAGCGGCGCTCACTTCCTCTATACCAGCGTAGGTGTTGCCAGCGGCGCTCACTCCCGCTATACCAGCAGCGTTCCCTCCCTCATTACCAGCGGTGGTGTTGGCAGCGGCGCTCACTTCCACTATACCAGCGGCGGTGTTGCCAGCGGCGCTCACTTCCTCTATACCAGCGTAGGTGTTGCCAGCGGCGCTCACTCCCTCTATACCTGCAGCGTTCACTCCCTCTATACCAGCGGTGGTGTTGCCAGCAGCACTCACTCCCTCTATACCAGCGGTGGAGTTGCCAGCGGCGCTCAATCCCTCTTTACCAGCGGTGGTGTTGCCAGCGGCACTCACTCCCTCTATACCAGCGGCGCTCACTCCCTCTATACCAGCGGCGGTGTTGCCAACGGCGCTCATTCTCTCTATACCAGCGGCGGTGTTGCCAACGGCGCTCACTCTCTCTATACCAGCGGCGGTGTTGCCAGCAGCGCTCATTTCCTCTATACTAGCGGAGGTGTTGCCAGCGTTGTTCACTCTCTCTATACTAGCGGAGGTGTTGGCAGCGGCGTTCACTCCCTCTATACCATCGGTGGAGTTGCCAGTGGCGCTCACTTCCTCTATACCAGCGTAGGTGTTGCCAGTGGCGCTCACTCCCTCTATACCAGCAGCGTTCCCTCCCTCTTTACCAGCGGTGGTGTTGCCAGCGTCGCTCACTCCCTCTATTCCAGAGGAGGTGTTGCCAGCGGCGCTCACTCCCTCTAATCCAGCGGTGGAGTTGCCAGCGACGTTCACTCCCTCTATACCAGCAGCGTTCACTCCCTCTATACCAGCAGCGTTTACTCCCTCTATACCAGCGGTAGTGCTGCCAGTGACGCTGACTCCCTCTATACCATCAGCGTTCACGCCTTCAATACCAGAGTCGGTGTTTCCAGCGGCACTCACACCCTCTATACCAGTGGCGCTCACTCCCTTTATACCAGCGGTAGTGTTGCCTGCGGCGCTCTCTCCCTCTATTCCAGCGGTGGAGTTGCCAGCGGCGCTCACTCCCCTTTACCAGAAGCGTTCATTCCCTCTATACCAGCGGTTGTGTTGCCAGCGGCGCTCATTCCCTCTATACCAGCAGCGTTCACTCGCTCTATACCAGCGGTGGTGTTGCCAGCGGTGCTCACTCCCTCTATACCAGCGGTGCTGTTGACAGCTGCAGTGTTGCCAGCGGCGGTGTTGCCAGCAGCGCTCACTCCCTCTATACAGCTGTGGTGTTGCCAGCGGCACTCACACCCTCAATGCCAGCGGCGCTCACTCTTTCTATACCAGAGGTGGTGTTGCCAGCAGCGCTCACTCTTTCTATACCAGAGGTGGTGTTGCCAGCGGCGCTCACTCTTTCTATACCAGAGGTGGTGGTGCCAGCGTCGCTCACTCTTTCTATACCAGAGGTGGTGTTGCCAGCGGCGCTGACTCCCTCTATACCAGCGGTCTTGTTGCCAGCGGCACTCACTCCCTCTATACCAGCGATGGAGTGGCCAGCAGCGCTCACTCCCTCTATACCAGCGGTAGTGGTGCCAGCGGCGCTCACTCCATCTTTACCACCTGCAGTGTTGCCAGTGGCAACACTGCTGGGGCAACGGCAACCCCCCCCCCCCCAATGTACCACCAGACTAGTACCCCTCTCCCGGCTACTTCCCCCCACCCCCACTGTACCTAAAGAGTAGTACCTCTCACCCGACTACTTCCCCCTCCCCCCACTGTACCACCAGACTAGTACCCCTCACCCGACTACTTCCTCCCCCACTGTACCTTCAGACTAGTACCTCTCACCCGACTACTTTCCCCCCACTGTACTTCCAGACTAGTACCCCCTCACCCGACTACTTCCCACTGCCACTGTACCACCAGACTAGTACCCCCTCACCCAACTACTTCCCCCCCCCACTGTACCTCCAGTTAATTCCCCTCACCCAAATACTTCCCCCCCACACTGTATCTCCAGACTAGTACCCCTCACCGGACTACTTCTCCCCCCCCTACTGTACCACCTGACAAGTACCCCTCATCCAGCTACACCCCCCCCCCACTGTACCTCACGACTAGTACCCCCTCACCCAACTATTTCCCCCCCACTGTACCTCCAGACTAATACACCTCACCCGGTTACTTAACCCCCCTCCCCACTGTACCTCCAGACTAGTAACCCTCATCCGACTACTTTCCCCCCCACTGTACCTCCAGACTAGTACCCCTCCCCCGACTACTTTCCCCCCCCCACTGTACCTCCAGACTAGTACCCCTCCCCCGACTACTTCCCCCCCTCCCACTGTACCTCACGACTAGTACCCCTCACCCGACTACTTCCCCCCCCCCACTGTACCTCCAAACTAGTACCCCTCACTCGGTTACTTAACCCCCCCTCACCGTTCCACCAGAGTAGAAACCCTCACCCGACTACTTCCCCACCCCCCCACTGTACCACCTGACTAATACCCTTCACCCGACTTCTTCCCCCCCCCCCCCCACTGTACCACCAGACTAGTACCCCTCACGTGACTGCTTCCCCCCAACTGTACCACCAGACTAGTACCCCTCACTCGACTACTTCCCCCCACTGTACCTCCTGACTAGTACCCCTCACCCGACTACTTCCGCCCCGACAGGAGACCCAGCCTGCTAAGGGAAGGAACTAGGTATGCAGCAGAACTAGCCTTCCTACCCTTACCTACCAGTGGAACAAATTTTTGGTTTTCCTACAGGGTTAGAGGAGCGGTTAGAAGGGGCTCTTGATGCCAAGGACGATTGAAACGTCGTCGTCTCTTCAATTTCTCGTGTGTGATGTGGTCAGCATTAATGCTCAAGATGACTAGCCCTGGTTCTCTTCTTGTGGCCTCACGATGAATCCTTCGATTCCCTAGGCGAATCTACCCTGGCCACAGGCTAGCCAAATCACAGTCCCACTGGGTGCACCGTCGTGGAGGCCTTCAACCACCAATCCAGCCTGTAGCTGGCAGGTTCCAATCAGCTCTGCTGCGTAGGCCACTCCACGACCGATACTAGAGTTGCGAGCCCTAGGCAGGAGCCTCGTGTGATTCCGCTGATCACTCTCCTCTCTCAACACCCCAGTGGCTAGTCGTCTCCACCAGTCAGCCCCGGGTACGACAATTCCTGGTTCTGCCACGTCACAGGCAGGCTAACACTCAACAGTGTTCATCCGGGGGGGGGGGGGGGTGACACACAGCTTCTACAGCAAACACGTGGAGAGACTTTGGCTGCCTTGGGTAGACTGCCCTACCGTCCAATCCAGCAGTCCCAGGTCGACTCTGTAATCAGACACGTCATCAGTAATAGGGACACCCTAGGGCACCTCACTTACAGGCTTAGACACAAACGCCCACCTATCCACTCCATAGATGGCGTTGCTGTCTAAGCGCCCCCTCACCAGAGGTCAGCATTTGGAGGGGGTTTCGGGAGCTGACCCACAGATGGCGTGGTCGTCACAGCTCCATGCTACGACGCTGGGCTCGGGTCCGTAACAATGCTTTCCATAGTCAACAGTACCAAATTCTACTATATAATTGTACATAAAGTTTATGTATGTTCGATGGTCCACATAATTACAAAAAGTAATATCTAAACACGAGGATGGGTTTTAAATACACACCCCTGCCTAGGTCCATGGGACATAATTACGGACAAAAAAATTTAATAGTAAAATACTGAGAACTTGAGTCGAGTCATCTTATACTACTGTTAATCCTATGCCATATATCACACTGATGTTATGAAAAAGGCATAAGGGTGTTTATAATTGATAGAGGTATCATCTCGTACTACAGATGGGTCCCATGCATATTTGTATGCGGCTAGCCCATAACTTTGGATGGACAAATAGTCACAAATATTCTCTCAACTGTGTAGATAAAAACACATATTTCCCTTCATTGTTCTCATCTACACAACAATTCTCTCAATTGTGTAGATAAATACATATTTACCTTCATTGTTCTCATATAAGAGCTCTTCAATAAACCAAATTATTAATTTTTCTAGCAAATTCATTTTTTGTTGTTGGTGGCAATGACAACAAATCTTATTTTGTAATTTTATTAATTTAAAAACTTCCACATAATTAAATCAATAACATTGTGATTAACAATTCATATATATATATATATATATATATATATATATATATATATATATATATATATATATATA